AAAGGATAGTCTCTTTGGCAACCCAATGGTGTTGGGAAAACTGAACAAACACATGCAGAAATATGAAGTTGGACCCCTCTCTTACACCACTCACAAAAATCAACTCAAAATGGATCAAAGACTTAATTATAAGACCTGCTACCATAAAACTCCTAGAAGAAAACAGAGAATCTCCTCAACATTGGTCTTGGCAATGATTCTCTGGATATGACACCAAAAGCACAAACAACAATAACAAAATCAAGTTGGACTGCCTCAAACTTAAAATCTCTGCACAGTAAAAGAAACTATCAATAAAATGAAAATGCAACCTAGAAAATGGGAAAAAATATTTGCAAACCAAATACCAGGTATGGGGTTAATATCCAAAATATATAAAGAGCTCATATAACTCAATAACAAAAAGAACCCAAACAATCCAACCAAAAAATGGGCAGATGAACTAAGCAGACATTTTTTTTAAAGTCACCCAAATGGCCATTAGGTACATACATGAAAAGATGCCCAACATCACTAATCACCAGGGAAATGCAAATAAAAACTACAATGACACATCACGCACACCTGTTAGAGCAGCTATCATCAAGAGGACAAAAAGTAACACGTGTTACTGAGAATATGGAGCAAAGGGACTACTTGTACTCTATTGGTGGGAACGTGAACTGGTTCAGTCACTATGAAAAACAGTATAGAGTTTCCTCAAAAAATTAAAAATACACCTATAATATGATCCAGCCATTCTACTTCTAAAGAAATGAGAACAGGATATCAAAGAAATATATGCACTCCCCTGTTTATTGCAACATTATTCACGATATCCAAGATATGAGACCCTAAGTGTCCATCAATGGATGAATGAATAAAGAAGATGTAATAAAAATGGAATAAATTTATGTATTAAAATAATTGATTTTCTCAAGTTGGCCCAACTTTTCATTCCCAAACAACCACTCCTTGGTCATGATATATTATTCTTTTACTCTGAAGTTAAATTCAACTTGAAAATAGTTTATGTAGCATTTGTATGTATGTTGATAGGTTTGATTGGCTATTTTTATCTTTTGCTGTCTGTGGTAAGTAGCACCTAAAGTAATCCTTAATTATCCCTACCCCTACGTTCACACTCACATGCAAACTATCCCCTTGAGTGTGGGCTAGACTTAATGACTTAGATATAATGAATAGAGTATATCACCTGAGATGGGATGCCATCTTCAAAATTACATTATGAAAACTATGGCTTTCCTTTTGTGTATGCTCTCTCACTTTTTCTCAGATCACTTGCTCTTTTTTTTTTAAGATTTTTTATTTATTTATTTGACAGAGAGAGAGCACAAGTGGGCAGAGTGAGAGGGAGAAACAGGCTCCCCACTGAGCAGGGAGCCCGATGCGGGACTCAATCCCAGGACCCTGGAATCATGACCTGAGCCAAAGGCAGACGCTCAACTGAATAAGCCACCCAGGCATCCCCCAGATCACTTGCTCTTGAGCAAAGCAGCTATCATGTTATGATATAGTTCTATGAAGAGGCCCATGTGGCAAGGGACTCAGGTCTACCAACAGCCACGTGAGTGGGTTTAGAGAGAGACCTCCCACAACCTTCAGATGAGAATACAGCCCCAGCTGAAAATTTTCTCAACTTCATAGACCTTGAGCCAGTCACCCAGCTAAGCCACACCCAGATTCTTGACCCACAGAAACTATAAGGTAATAAATGTTTGTTGTTTTAAGCCACTACATTTTGGAGTGTTTGTCACGCAATTAATATGTAATACATTGTCCTTGTGACATTTCTATATTGTGGCTATTCTATTTCATAAAATGTGTTGAGTAGCTATCTTAAACCGTTGTGTGAGTTATTCTCATAAAATAGAAATTATCCCTTCCTTGAAAGTTGTACATAAATTCTAGCTTGAATGTGAAAAGATAGAACTTTGACTACTTGCAATTTTATTTTATTAGCCAACTTTATTGATTTATATTTCCCTAAAAGTGTCCATTTCACTCAGATATTTAATATAGGAAGTTTGTAGTATTGTGTTATAATTTTTAAACTCTTCTCTACCTGTTATTTCAATGGAAAAGAAATAAACCAAAATAATAATGAACTTTTAAGTGGTAGAATAATGCATTATATTTATTATTATCTTAGTAGTTTTATGGGTTTTCCAATTTTAAAATAAAAAATACTATTTAGGAATCAAAATAAAAAATATAACAGAGTTTATAAGCATCTATGTGTGAACATATATTTGTTTACATACAGAGAAAAAGTTACTAGTGACTTAGCACAAGTATATTCAGTAGAAAAATGAGGGGAAATGTCAGAAACCTGTAAGATAGGAAGTGAATGCAAAGAATTGGAAACAGAACATATACTACTATTTTCCTGAGAGGAAGGGGGGAAAGTTAGAGTCTTACATAAAAAGTAAACTAAGCAGGGACGCCTGGGTGGCTCAGTTGGTTAAGCAACTGCCTTCGCCTCAGGTCATGATCCCAGGGTCCTGGGATCAAGCCCCGCATCAGGCTCCCTGCTCAGCCAGAAGCCTGCTTCTCCCTCTCCCACTCCCCCTGCTTATGTTCCCTCTCACACTATCTCTTTCTCTCTGTCAATTAAATAAATAAATAAAAATCTTTAAAAAAAAAGATTTAATTTAAAAAAAGTAAACTAAGCAAAAGAAAAGTAATTTTATATTTTGTTTTTAAAGTGCAAGAACTTGAGGATGTTTATAGACTAAAGGTAAGGAAACATTTAATTTAGAAAGAGTGCAGAAACAAGAAGAGAAAGAAATAATTGAGGTATTAAGGACTGCAAAGCTTTTGGGGCGCCTGGGTGGCTCAGTTGGTTAAGCGACTGCCTTCGGCTCAGGTCATGATCCCAGGGTCCTGGGATCGAGCCCCGCATCGGGCTCCCTGCTCAGCAGGGAGGCTGCTTCTCCCTCTCCCATTCCCCCTGCTTGTGTTCTCTCTCTCTCTCTCTCTCTCTCTCTCTGTCAATTAAATAAATAAAATCTTTAAAAACAAAAAAGGACTGCAAAGCTTTCAATACTACTAGTAGAGGGAGGGGATGTAGACAATAAACACTTGATTTTAAATTATTCATTGAGTATTTAGTGCCTTTCTGGAGAGCTAAATCCAATAAAACCTAGTAATTCCTAGTTCTAATTTACTATCTCATGGTAAATCAACTCCTTTCTACTTCTCCTGTGACAATTTGTACTTTGATAACTTGATGGCTATCTGATTTTCTTCTCTGTGTTCTTTTAAGGAAAGGCATTTGTCAATGTGCCTTTTTTTTCCTGAGGCCCTAAGCAATTTGGTGATAAGCTACCTTTCAACACTCACCTGGTGCACACCAACCCACCCCCAGAATGCAGTGAACCTTCTTCCCATCCTTCCTTTGATGTCCCTGATTGCCAGCCCATGGATCACACAATGTTCTTGGGCCTCCTGAGCAGCCTTTCAAGCCCACCTTCTGGCCCCAGATTTACCTGGATGGGAAATAGGTATTTATAGAAAATGTCAAAGTATCACTGAAAATTCTGCCCTCAGTATTCCATAAGGGAACTCAATGACTTGTGCTCATATATTTGATTTCTTTGCAATGTAAGCTATACTTCCAAAGTTTTTCCTCATGATCAAGAAGGCAAGAATTCCAAGACATATAAGAAAAATCAGTAACTTCTGAATTTATAATCAGAGATCCTAAAGACTCCAGGTGAGATAAATTTAAGTAAATGGAGCAGTCTGTAATAACCAGCACACACCCCAATGACCTTAAAATCCCACTGTGACTTTTTAGGGTGCTGGGAGATGCTTATTTCCAAGTACCACTGTCCCAGCAATTTCAGAGAAAAAACATGAACCCAGACTTAGGGAAAGTCATCCTCAGAGCTTCCAGCACCCTCACTGGCTTCGGCTAAGACTTTTGAGGTTTACCTCTTTCAAGACCTATGTTAATAGCACCACAAGCCTCCACCAATCCCATATCCTGAGTCAGCTCAAGAAATCATTTTCAAAGTCTCAATAACCAGGGAGGACCTTCTCCAATAATGAAACTGTGTGTCCCATTCACTGAAATCCTGAAATAGAAGCAGTACCCAGAGGAAGCCACAGCAGAAAGGAGCTGGAGTAAGACCATCTAAAAAAATAGAAACATCAAATAAGATCATGAGTGTGAATGCACTTTGCAGTTTCTAAAATTGGTATTTTTACTGTGCCTTCTTTAAACAGTCCCTAAGCCACCCAAACTACTCTGGTGTTCCCTTATGTTCATTTCATTTGTGTCTCTGAGGTCATTTATGCCACTTTGTCAGCCATATGCTCATGTTGCATTGCCATTGATTTTTCTGTATTACTTGCTGTCCTAAGTGCATCAAAGTTCCACTCTTCCTTTTTGATTCCTCTCACATTACATATAACTGTGATGTGTAAACAATTTGTATTCACTAAGACTTTAGATATAAAAATTAGTTTCATTCAGGTAGTTGGACAGAAGGCAATCAAATAGAAGCTTTTTTTTATCTCTCAGCCTGTATATATGGTTTTAAATGTAATTTCATTGCTTAAGTCTGGTAAGATACGTTCCAAAAAATATCAATAAATAGACATGCTGTTATAATAATGTTTCTCCTGAGGAAATAAATTGGAATACTTTAACTCTGGAAATGCCTTAACCTTTAACAGTTCTGCCAGGAGCCATAAGATAATGGTTTTTCACAGACTTCCTCCTCTTCCTTCATTATGGCTGCCCCTCCTCTGTAAGTGCTGTGCATCCTACTGTCTTTGCCTACAACCTGTCAACATTTGACAAATGTACTTTGAATGACTGATAGTCATGTCCATTGCATGCTGTCTCCTGATATAAAGGCTCATTGGAACACAGAAATGTTCTTGGTACTAAAAGGTTCAATAATCATACAGCAACTCATCTCTTGAGTACTAAATATACAAAGAAGTTCTCTTCATCACAGCTACTGATTCTCTCCAGTTATTCAACCATGAGGGTCTTGCATTCCATCCTTGGAGTCCTTGCTTTGCTGTCCATAGTTCCTCAAGGTAAGACAGAAATCTTTCATTGCAGAGATATGAAAATATAAATGAGAGAGAATAAAAGGTCTTCCAAGAATTTGAAAATAAATTAGTCAGGTGCAGATCATACCACACAATGAAGAATGTCAAGGAGTGCTTTGGCCCTAACAGGAATGGAGAGTTGCTGCTAAGGACATATTCATAAGGTGGTCCCCTTCAGTGATTTCACTTATTTTGAACTCTAACTTGAGGACTATTGTTTGATCCAAAGATGGTGAGAGGATGTTCACAGAACACAGGAAACTTGGGAAATTGAAACAATGGAAGTGAGTGATGATTAGAATGGCCAAGGGTGAAGAGGAGGCTGCCGCATCATTATCTGTGGTTCACAGAACTCTGATCACCAATCTTGGTAAGGGCCTCAGTAGAAATGACTTTGTGTATGATGGGAATTAAGATTCCATCTTAACACTATCCAGATGACCAATTATACAGGCATATTATTGAATAATCAATCTAACCTTCCCAAGTTAATTTTTAAATTCACCAATAATATATAATAAAAATATATTAATCATTGGATTTATAAATGGGGTTTATATTATTATCTATGGGCTTACCTATCTCTTCTGATGCACCCATTACCTTAGAGCACATTTTAATAGCTGGCAATTCAAGATTCCCCTCATTGTTCTTGTTTTTTTATGTATTTTTAATGAGATAAAATTCACTCTTTTAAAGTATACCATTTCAGTGGTTTCCTATATATTCATAAAATTGTGCAACCATCACCACTATCTAATTCCAGAACATTTCATCACCCCATAAAGAAACTTCATGTTCATTAACAGTCATTCCCCGTCCTCCCCTCCCTTCAGACCCTGGCAGCCACTAATCTACTTCCTGTCTCTATCAATTTACCTATTCTGGATATTTAATATAATCAAACAATATGTGACCCTTAGAGTCTGTTTTCTTTCACTTGGCATGTTTTTCAAAATTCATCCAGGTAGCATGCTTCGGTGCTCAATTTCTTTCAATTGATGAATGGTTTTCTATTGAATGGATACATTACCTTTTACTCATCCATTCATCAGTTAATGGACATTTGGATTGTTTCTACTTTGGAGCTATTATGAATGATGTGCTGTGAACACTTAAAGCCAAGTTTTTTTGTGGACATATTTTCAATTCTCTTGATATATAACTTGGAATAGAATTGCTGTGTTATACAATAACTATGTTTAGGGGCACCTGCGTGGCTCAGTCGATTAAGCATCTGACTCTTGATTTTGGCTCAGGTCATGAGCTTGGGGTCCTAGAATCGAGCCTTGAATCGGGCTCCCCACTCAGTGTGCAGTCTGCTTGTCTCTCTCCCTTTGCCCCTCCCCTTGCTCGCTCTCTCAAATAAATAAATCTTTTTTAAAAATAACTATGTTTAACTTTCTGAGTAATTGTCAAACAATTTTCCGCAGCTGCATGCTTCATTTTATAATCCCACCAGCTGTGCATGAAGGTCCAATTTCTCCACATCTTCACCAACATTTGCTTTTGTCTGTCTTTGTTACTATCATTATCCTAGTTGCTATAGCAATATCTCATTGTAGTTTTAATTTGTATTTAATTTGCTACTTAATGATATTGATCATCTTTTCATGTTTTATTGGCCATTTTTATATCTTCTTTGTAGAAATGTCTATTCAAATCCTTTACTCCTTTTTTAATTAGGTCGTCTTTTATTATTGAGATGCCAGTTCTTTGTATATTCTGGACACTAAACCTTTATCAGACATAGGTTTGCAAATATCCTCTCCCATTCTGTGAGGGTTTTTTTTTTTTATATTTTACTGTAAATGCTTGCTGTACCAGTGAGTATGTTTTCAGGTTCAAGCAACAAACAACTCAGATTCAACTGGCTTAAACAATAAAGAAAATATATTATTGCAGATAAGAAGTCCAAAGTTCAGACAATTCTGAAATTGGCTAATGCCGCAGATCATCCACAATATCAAGTATTGGAAAAGAGTCAGATTTATCCTTGACTAGCTTTTCCTATGGTCGCAAGATACCTGTCACTGTTTTGAACGTCATATCCAGATCCACCACATTACACCAAAGTAAAAGGAGTACATTTCTTCTTTATTGACAAGGAATACTTTCTCAGAATTTCCCCAGGAATGAATTGCATACCCACCCTCAAACTAATCACAGGCAAAGAAATAGAGAACACTATCATTGGCTTAAACTAATACAAATTTATGCCTAGGATATCTAGAAGAATGGTAGGCAACCAAACATTAGGATTCTGGCTGCAAGAATATATATTAGGATTCTGTCACCTAAGCACATATATCTATACACTATTGTTTAATTTTGTCACCTTGCTTTAAAATTTATACAAATGAAATGATATTGTAACTGTCTTACTTTACTCCATATGACATGCATGAAATTCAACTATGTTGCTGTGTACTACTGAAGTTCATTAGTTTTTATTCCTATATAGTGTTCCATCATAGTAATATGCCACAGTATATTTATTCATTTTACTGTTGATGAACATTTAGATTGTTTCTAGGATTTGGCTGCTATAAATACTATTACTGCTATGAATTTTTGCTCAATAATTCTTGTTGTATATATGAACACATACTTATCAGGTATATACCTAGGAATTAAACTTTTTTCATAGAACATGTGTATCTTCAACTTTAGGAAATAATGCCAAAGAGTTTCCCAAGCAGTTGAACAAATTTACACTATCTTCAGCAGTGAAGAACAGCTCTTATTGGCCCACATCCCCACTAACAATTTATATGATCAAGGTGTTAAATTATAGCCATTCAGCAAACTATGGTCACAATTGAATGCACTTTACATTCAAATTCCTATATTAGTAATAAGATTGAAGATACTTTCATTTGGTTTTTTTGCCATTTTAATATCAGTTCCCAAAGTACCTTTCAATTATTTTGTCCATTATCCCCTTGGGTTATTTGTTATTTTCTCAGCAATCTGTAGGGTTTCACTATAAATTCTGGATGCAAATGCTTTATTACATGTCTTAAAAACCATCTTCTGCTCTATGGCTTGTCTTTTTACCTCCTTTATGATGTCATTTTATAAAAATAAATTTTTAATGTCAACACAGTCCAATTCATCAGACTTTTTTTTAATTTGGGCTTTTTTGTGTTCCTTTCTCACCTAAAGGTCATAAAGGTATTCTCTGAATATCTTCCTCAAAATGCTTTATCTTCCAAAAGTTTTATTATTTTGCCTGTCAAATTTAGATTGCAAATCTCCACCTGGTATTGATTTTCATGAAATTGAGGTCAAAATTTATTCTGAAATTTGTTTTTATCATATATGTAGCTAATTGATCCAACAACATTTCTTGGAAAAAAATTTTTTTCTCAATGACTTACAGTGCCCTTTTGTCATAAACCTAGTGTATATCCTAGGCTATCTACTCTGTGTCTTGTTCTGTTTGTCTCCCTTGGTACAAATAATACACTATTTTAATTAATGACAGTTTATGATGTCTTCATATATGGTAGAGAAAGATATCTACATTTTCTTTTTTTCAAGGACTGTCTTGAATATTCTCACTCCTTTAAACTTCCATATAAACTTTAGAATAAGCTATTCAAGTACACATACATACATATTCAGTGAGAATTTTCATTGAGAGTGCAGTGAATCTAGAGATCAGTTTAGGGAGAGCTGGCATCTTTACAAAATTAAATCTTTCTACAGCTTTGTAATATTTTGAAATCAGGAAGTGGGATGCCTCCAGCTTTGTTTTTTGCTTTTCTTTCCCAAAGTTACTTTGGCTGTTCAAAGTATTTTGTGGTTCCATATGAGCAAAAATAATTGACATAGAGACTAAAAAAAAAAATTAGGAAAAAAGTCAATTAAACCAAAAGTTGGTTCTTTGAAAATATAAACAAAATGGATAAGCCTTAGCCAGACTCATCAAGAAAAAAAGAAAAAGGACCCAAATAAGTAAACTCGGCAACTAAAAAGGAGATTTAACAATTGACATCATAGAAATACAAAGGACTATAAGGGAATATTATGAAAAATACATGCCAACAAATTCGACAACCTAGAAGAAATTGATAAATTCCAAAAAAAAAGACCTTTAATAAAGTAGCAGAAAGAAGAAATTAAGAAAACAACCTTATTTGCAATTGCACCAAAAAGAATAAAATACCTAAGAATAAACTTAACCAAGGAGGTGAAAGATTTGTATTCTGAAAACTATAAAACACTGATGAAAGAAATTGAAGACTACACAACTGACCATGCTTATGGATTGGAAGAATTAATATTGTTAAAATGTCCATATTACCCAAGGCATTCCACAGATTCAATGCAATCCTTATCAAAATACCAACAGCATTTTTCACAGAACTAGAAATATCCTAAAAAATGTATGAAAACACAAAAAAAAAAAAAAAAACCAAATAGCCAAGCAGTCTTGAGAAAGAAAAATAAAGCTAGAGATAACACGGTTCTGGATTTCAAGATATACTACAAAGCTATAGTAATCAAAACAGTATGGTACTGACACAAAAATAGACACATAGATCAATAGAACAAAATAGAGAGCCCAGAAATAAACCCTTGCTTATATGGTCCATTAATTTATGACAAAAGAGACATGAATACACAACAAGGAAGAGATGGTCTCTTCAATAAATGCCACTAAGAAAACTAGACAACTATACATAAAAGAATGAAACTGCCACTTTCTAACACTACATACAAAAATAAACTCAAAATAGAGGGATGCCTGGGGTGGCTCAGTTGTTAAGCATCTGCCTTCAGCTCAGGTTATGATCCCAAGGTCCTGGGATTGAGCCCTGCATCGGGCTCCCTGCTCGGCGGGAAGCCTGCTTCTCCCTCTCCAACTCCCCAACTTCCCTCTCTTGCTATGTCTCTGTCTGTCAAACAAAAAATAAATTTTTTTAATTTATTTTTAGTTTAAAACAAAAACAAATAAAACAAAACAAATATAAAAC